TCGGGCTCCCCCAGCCCCTCGGGACCCCGCAGATGCTCGAGTCTCTGCTGCCCCGCGCCCCCCGTTCCCCCCCGGCATCACCCCGCAGTTCGCCCTGCCTGGCTCCCCAGGCCTGGGGTGCGCGGAGTGGGTTGGAGGACACACACACAGAGGTGTAGCAGTGTGTTCTGCAGCTGCCAAGCTTCCCCCTGCCCGGGGTGAGGATCCCCAGAGCGCGGTGGGGTGATGGACACAGCTGGAGGGAGTGAGGTTGTCACACTTTGAACAGAGGCTCGAAAAAAGCACACACCTTTAATGTTGGGGCCTGGCTAGCTGAGGAGCTGTAACTTGAGCAACAGTTAAAGGAATGCTTAAGCAATTAAAAACAAGACACAGAAAGTAGGTCTTGCTGACCTTGTTTCTATCTTCATGCATTCCTGTGTCTTCAATCCAGCACTTTACAATGGTCTTGTCTTCTCCTGCTGCCAGGGCTCTTAGGTTTGGTTTAATTTGACTGTCTTACAGGTAAGTCATTTTGCTAACAAGCTAGAATAGTGCTGTTATTTAGATTCTCATAGACACTATGTAATCCTTGCTATCAGTTTCCCAGGATGTGAGAGGGGGATGCAGCTTCAAATTGTAACCTATCATAAGTAAGAATTGTAAGCATTGACAAGTGGAGCAACCAATCCAAAGCTGTGTGATCAGCACGTAGCTGCATGCACAGCAGACTTTATACTATAAATACTGTTAGGTGCCCAAAATAAAGTTGGCTATCAGAGCATCATATTGGTGTGCTGTAGTCCCTCCCTCACAAGGACCCCAACACTTTAAGAGTTATACAAAACAGCTTTATTAAATCACCTGATTACAAAAAAATGGAAGGTAAAGAAATCAAAAATTATACCAAAATTCACATCTGAGGAAAGGAGACATTACAGCAGGATGCTGGGGAAGCTCAGCTCAGCTGTTGGAATGCTCTGGTGGCTCTGTGGTGACTGTGTTCCAGGTCACTCATATCCCCCTTAGAGCTGCACAGCAGAGCCACCACAAAGGGAAAGGGCAGACAATGTGCCAAGCTGCTGCACAGCTGCACACCAAGCACCAAACATGTGTCTTTGGAAGGAAATAGTGAGTATCCCGCAGTGCTCCCAACATTCCAGTCATCTCAAGCTCTTTTTATGACCAAACTAAAAGCCAAAATTAACAGTGGCTTCATGTTAGCTCAGACTGTGTTAACAGAAATTTCTATGTGAACGCTGGAGAAGGAATCTAACTAAAGTGTGTTGCTGCTTTGATTTGTAGCTTTGAGCAAGTGGCATCGTGGATCCCTCAGTCTGATCCCTGTTCCTCTGCAAAGAAGGGAACACTGCTCTTCCATAAGGGTCTCCTGAGAGCTTCTTCCCAAACCAAGAATTCAAGTTTGTGAAGCATTTTGACAGTGAAGACTGTTGTATAAAAAATATCCTAAGATTCTTTAAAGTAGACCAGAGGTTGTCAGACACCATCCTGAGAGAGCTTTAAAGCAGCCAGAAAGTCCATAACCTTGGGAAGCAGAGTGAAAACCCCAAACACTCACTGCCCCCACATTTGGCTTAAGTTTATCCCAAAGAAATTCAACTCCCAACACTCACTGAGATTCACATGGAAACAAACTGGACTTCTAATGAACTCTACACATTACTATCACGTCAAAGCAAACCTGACTCTAATTTGCTAGAACAATCAACTCTGTATGTACTTATTTCTGTCTCTTCAGGGAGAGAAACACTCATGACAATGTCCTGGGGTGGAGGAGGAGGAGGCACTGCAGCCATCCAGTGAGCAGAAACCTGCCAGCACAGCTCCAGTGCCTCCTCCCGACAGCAGGAGACGCTCGGTACAGCAGGTGGAAGACTTCCAGCAGCGCAGAGCCGGCGGCAGCGGATCCTCTTCAGGAGTGCTCGGCGGGGCCTGCCCCGTGCCCGTTCACGTGAGGGTGTGATGGAGTCGAGCTCTGGGAGGGAGCAACGCTCTGCTCTGCTGTGGCAGCTGCCAGAGGCATGGAGAGGCCCTCGGGGGACAGCGTAGCAAAGTCTTCTCTCCAGTAGGCTTCGCACAGGGGGAGATCATTGCTGTCACACAGACTGTAGCTTTCCAGAACAAACAACCCCAGTCAGGAGGGAGCAGGAGAGGGAACAGAGGAGGGGAGGGATGGAAAGGGTGGGGGGAGCAAGACAGAAGCAAAGCATTAAGAAAATGGTAAAAAAAATGCTCATGGATGTAAGGTTTGTGTTCATCAATTCGTCACAAGGTGTGTGACACTGACCTTCCCTAAGACACCCCTTAAGAGCTGGTCTTGAGCCTCAGACTCCCCAATTTCAGAGACAAAACTGTTGCTAGAAACTGAAACAGAGGCTCAGCTCTAACCCAGACACTCCAAGTCTCTGAAAAGATCTGGCTTGAAGTCCTGGCACCCCCAAATATGGAAGTTCTGCTACTCATATGAGTGAGACAAGGACCTCACTGATAATTTTACTTGCAATTAGATCATGACCTATGTGAGGGGAAAATAATAAATCCTGCTCTAAACTCAAGTTCAGAAAAAAAGCAGCTACAATTGTTTTGGGGCCTGTCCCTTTCCCAGTAAAGAAGAAACCTATTTGCACTCTTGCCCTTTCAAAAAAGTGCTCCACATGTTTGGGTCTTCTATTGAAGCTTTCCAGCCTGGTTATAAAGCACTGACAGCTCCTGCCTTTTCCCAAACAGCCTGAGCTAAGTGTTCCCAGCAGCAGCTGGTTGGATTCCAGCACTGTACACTACTGAGCTGGATGAACCAGCAGTATGGGAATGTAATGTTTTTAAACAACTGCCTGATTCTTGCCTGTGCTCTGAGGAAAACACAATGTGCAAGGGCCAAAACTAAAAAGAAACATGGAAGAAACTAGAACAAAGCCAACACAAATCCCAAAGAGAAGAAGGAGCTGCACACACAAGACACCCAAGACAAGGTGAGTGCTGGAGCAGGAAGCAGCTTGCAATCAGAGAAAAATAAACCCAGTGGGTCCAAGTGATTTTGTTGTTGCAGCTTTATTTACATTTGTAATGTATGGATTGATGCTTTAGGGAAATATTTCAAAGTGTAGAAATATGAGACAGTTCAAATTGCACAAACATGAAACATGTGAGATCTAACCCCACACTCAAGACAGCTCCTGTGATCTCAGAGGAGGGAGCAATGGAACACAAAGGCAGGTTTGGGGTTAGGATGAGAGAAGCCAAGCTGGGCTTGGAGTTACTGCTCTGGGGAACAAGCACACAAAGCACTAGTTGCAAGCTGAGCTCTTTTCTGGCAGAATCACCCACCTGGCATTGCAGGGGAAGTGAGAAGGCAGTGGATATAGGTTTTATATCTGGGGCTTTGTAAAATCCCTTGGAGGATCAGCCCTCCACACAGTGAAGCTGAGTTCAGTGAACAGAGACCTTCAGGAGTGAACCAGAACTAAGACTCCTGTTCTGTCATAGACCTCAGGCCATGGTTTCCAAGGAGAACCTGACCACAGCATCTACCACTTCTTGGCAGGGGAGTTACTAACAAAGGTGTAGCTGCATCACAAGTGTAACTGTTGCTCCTGCTGTCTCTGTTAGGACAGTTCCAAAAGTCTAAGCTCCATCTCTCAGGTAAGACTCCTCAAAAGTCAGGGCCAGTGAGCAGCTCTGCACAGCCCCCCAGAGCCCTGGCCAGGCTGCTGCTCTGCCCTTTGGGGGTTTCTCAGTGCTTGGAAGGGACTTTGCTGCTCCCCCTGAGGCACACAGCCAGGTGCAGAGGGACAGCTCTGGCAAACAGCTTGAACACAGGGCAGGAAAACAAAGACTCCTTCAGAATAATCTCCTTGGTTTTACTTTCAAGGACTTGCTTTAGGGTCTCACCAAAACCCCCACATGCACATGACAAGCCTGGCAGACATCTGACCTTACAACTGAGACACATCCCAGGGCTGCCAGGACAGCAAGGAATTAATTCCTCTTTGGGGGCAAACAGGCTGTTGTGTTTACAGCCACTGAAACCCAACTGTGATGTAACAGAAACCTTTTCTCCCCATGTTAGACAATAAGAGTAAATTAAAAATATCATAGTACTCCAATTACAAAAGGACTTGGAATAAATCAGTTTCTTCTTTACACAGACACAATTTCTTTGGTGCAGAGAAAGGCAGGAGAGAGCACAGGAAGGAAGTGCTAAAAGCAAATGGCTAAGTGCTACATGATAACAGGTTTCAGATCAGCTTTGCAGAGTTGCCAAGTTTCCTCACCTCATGACCAGTAACAGCACAAAGGCAAATCCATCAGAGATACACCAACACTTGTGCTTCCATGTTAATTCTGTTGGGAAGGGTTTACATGGCACCTGGTGCCAGGCAGGTGCACAGACCATGCCAGCATGGTCTCAGTCCAAACCTGGGAGCCACCAGACACAGTGGTGAGTGTGGTGACAGGGGAGGGAAGGACACCTGGCACACATGAGGCAGTACCATCCCACACCACATCCCTTTGGATGCAACTCTCTGCTCTGTGCTGTGAATCAGCACCTGGACAGGTGCTTGGGTTTGTGACCACCACTCTTCAGTTCTGAGATATTTCTAGGATCCCTTGACAACCCCCCAAGAAATGAGTAATGTCTGAAAAGCAACTGTAAACTTTTACCTCTAAGCTATGTCATATTAATACCTTTTTACTCTTAAAATATATATTATTACTCATAAAAAATGGCCTTACTTTCAAAGATACTGAGCAGTCAGGGGTTTAGTTGACTTAGGTGGGGTTATAGGCATTTTTAGAAAAGGCAAACACAGGCAACCTGGTCATTAAAAATTTAAATATTATTTTTTTACAGTTAGGTTTCTGTTTAAAAGTCCTAGAATTATTGCACTGACTTCACTTAGCTTGGACAGTGCAGCCAAAATAATCAGGTTTGTATCTGTTTTCTCCTGCTTTCATTTACTGCATCATCCACTAGAAGTGCTGGAGTGCATAACCAAAAAAAAAAATAAAGTGTCTGAATTCTCTAAAATCTGTTTGCTAAGGAAGAGGTTTTTTAAAATATTAAAAATTCCATAAACAAACCAGTAACAAGTCATTATTCCTTAGAAAATCCTATCACAATACTTCATAATTCAAGGAAACTGAGCAGGTTAGTTTGCTCCTTTCTCCCCCCAGCAGGACCAGAGGCAGCTGGGGGCAGGGGACTAGGAGGGAGAAGGCACAGTGTGACCTGGTCACTTGTGAAAGGACTCACCACGAAGGTGTGGTGACATCTAACATTAGGGTCCAGCTCAGTGAGCTGCTCTGTGCAGGGAGAGAGCCAGAGGCTCCTTCACAGGGATTTCCCCCATGGACAATCTCCTTTTCTAATGTCTACAACAGAAGCCTAAGTAAACTGTCAGGTCTAAGATGCTGTGAACATCTCCTTCACCAGGACATTTATATCCTGTAGAGTACCTACAAGAAAAAGGTAGTTGCTTTAATTGCACAAAAAAAAGTTTGACCTCATTAAAACTAGGAGTGAAAATTTTCTGGGGAACGTTCTCAACTCCTATACTCAGGGCTGTTTGTGTGGACTAACCACCCCAAGAGGGCTGGAGTCACAAGGCAGAGTTTGGGGTTTTTTTCAGGCACTGCCCTATTTGTACCTGGAAGAGTAATATTCTTCTTCTAGCTCGTACAGGTCAATGGAGATCTCATCCCTCAGTGCAATCAGCTTCTTGTCACACTCCTCCTGCAAACTCTTGAGCTGCTGGTTGCGCTGGTTGATGGCTTCGTTCACAGAGGGGAAATCATTGAGGATCAGGAACTGCTTCAGGTCAGACACAAGTTTCATCAGGGACTCCCCAGCTCGGACCTTACAGCAGGGAGGGAAACCACAAATCACATCAGTGCTCTGCTCAGTTCCAAAACAACATCTCCCAAGCTGCTCCTTCAGCCCAAGCCTTGAGTTACAAACTCCCACACGGAGAGAATCCTGCAGCTGACGAGTCAGGCTGCACAGCCTCTCCAGGCATCAGATGACTCTCCCAGCATCAGCCCTTTAGGGTGTTATAAAGGCCCACCAACAAACCAAACAACACCTGAAGGATGTGCTGCCCCCAGGCCTGGCCAGCTCAGTGCTACTCACAATGTTGGCAGCTCTCACATGCATCTCATAGTTGTCTTGTTCACCCTGCGTTGCTCGAGAAACTTGGGTTTCATCCTCAATCTAAAGAAAAAAGGACACATATCCACATTTACCTATGTGAAATCATGACAGATAGTTACTATGTTATAAGGCATCTAATTCCAGTTCAGTTCACTCCTGGAATTGCTGGGGTGGCCTCTGGGCTCTACAGCACCCACATATCACCTTAGCTGCCCTCCCTGCTTACTTCTGTGGCTCTCCCTGGTTCAGGAATATCTCAGGGTGGCCAGGAGCAGCTGGGGAGGGTTGGCTGCCACCTGCCTTGGGGAAAGGACCCTCCTCCCTCATGGCTGTCCTTGAAGGAAATGGGGGAAAAAGGATTGGAGCACCTTATCTATGGAAACAGACTGAGAGCATTGGAGCTATTCAGCCTGGAGAAGAGAAGGTTGTGTGGAGACCTCATAGCACCTTCCAGGATCTGAATGGGCTACACAGAAGTTGGAGAGGCAGAATAATCTGCAACAGCAGTGATAGGACAAGGAGTAATGGGTATAAATTGAAACAGGGGAAATTTAGATTAGATATAAGGAAGGAATTGTTCCCTGTGAGGTGCTGAGGCACTGGTACAGGTTGCTCAGAGAAGCTGTGGCTGCTCCATCCCTGGGAGTGTTCCAGGCCAGGTTGGATGGGGTTTGGAGCAACCTGGGCTGGTGGAAGGTGTCCCTGCCCATAGCAGGGGGTGGAACTGGATGATCTTTACGGTCGATTCCAACCCCTTAACATTCTATGAAAGCTAAAGCTCCTCAAAAATCCTATGGACTTCTACGTATATGAGGTTCTATGAAAGGATCCTCTATGAAGGCTCCCTCTTCCCTCAAGGGCTTTCCTTTCCCTCACCCTTTGGGGACCCTCAAACCCTCCCCATATCCTCTCATCCTTCTGGGACCCCCAACCCTCCTCTCCCAAACCCTCCGCACCCCTGACGCTCAGCTCCCCCTCAGCCCCACCTTAGCCGTCTTAATGATTTCCGTGAAATTATCCATAATGGACTTGACATCATCCTTGAGGCGCTTATTGTACGACTGCAGCAGCGTCTCCTTACTCTGCGGCAGCACCCGCTGCTGCG